GCTATCGCTATAAAAAAATATGTATTACGCATTCCAGCGCTTCGAACATGGAACCCTGGGAACATGGGCGTATACGCAATGCGTATAAGCCCATACACGCCCAACATACGCAATGCGGCGGAGGCTAGTGGAGGTACTTCGGCAATGGGTGTGATGTGGTGTCTCCGCTGTAGAAAATAGCGTTTTGTCTGTTCCGCGACAAAGTGACGTCGGTAGCGTCGATCTGTTCCAGGCGCGAAGCTTGCTGCCGATCAAGCAGAATGACATCGGCGCGAGGCGGCGAAATTCCCTCGCTACCTCGCTACCCTGCCGTCATCCTCGCTACCTCGATGATGACGGCAAGGCACGATTGTAACTTGGTCGCACGAAGCCTCCATGTGCGGCAATAGTAGTGCGAGGCAATCATTGCTTACCTGATTTATCACGCGACTGATTGAAAACTACGCGGCTTGGAATAAACACCACGTTTCACAGATAAATAAATACTGCTTTGAAGTCGACATTTCAGTAGGTATCCTTCATATACTAAAACCAGCGGAGGAGTAGACGGAGTCCGGTGAGGCAGCACGCGGTGGTGGCGTCACTCGAGCATTTCACGCAGCGTATAGCACCGATATAGGGGGGAGCACAGCATTTTCACGCCGCCCCACAGAAAACAATGTGAGGGAAGCTCAGACCATTACGAGTTTGCCACGCAACTTGTCAGAGGCGTAAAGCAAAGGAAAAAAAGCGGCGCTGACAAGCCTTCCTCCGGTCTCGACGGGCACTTGGTCTACACTCTCGGCCAAGCGCTGGGACGTTGAACACTCCTCGGTGGCACAACAGGCGAATCCTCACGTCATCACAAAGAAACTACCGCGCACAAAAGCGAATACCGACATCAATTTATAACAAAATATTTAAAACGCAAAAGAAAAAAAAAAATCACTGCGAGAAGTTGGCAGTCTGCAGGCGACCGTCGGAGCCCACATCTGGTTCTCGACTAAGTGTATACCGCCCCATGTGGACTCACGACATCACGGTGTGAATCTTATGGTACCAAGAGATAGCGCAATGTATGTAAAAACTCAGAACTTCAGGCAAAGGTCAGTTGATAGCGTAAAGGGCGATAAACCTCCTCCCTTCGCGATTGCTTCTGTTACTACCAGGTGCTCCTCGCAATCCAAGAGCACTAAGAATTCAAGGCCCACACGCACCCACCAAAGAGGCAGGACGTGCTCGTGAAACACTCCGTACTTGAAGGAATGTAAGCTTGTTTTGATCATTCTGATTAGCATGGAGATCATAAGAGTGCGTCATCTGTGCAACACATCGAAACCACTCAAAACTGTCCGCAACCAATCAGAGCAAATCATTCATAACGCACACATAATACACGCACAACGGAAGCTGTGCTCCCCGAATTTATAAGTGATAAAAGCAAGTTTATTTTTGTCATGCACGACAAAAATCATGCTCGCTTTTCAAAAATCTTATTCGTCTCGGCACGTGTGTATAATTTCAATGAAAACGTGAACCATGCTACTCGGATCTATACAGCATGATTCGCAAATGACGTCTTAATGGCCCTCCAGACCACTTATCATAATAAAGCTGCTAGTCAGTCGTCACAAGTGAGGTCATTTGCGACCTGCCCCTGGGTATGTGTCTGTTCATCTCCTCGCCCGCGGACCGTGGTCCCCTATCACACAGGAAGTGTTTCCACTGCCCTAGACCAGACATGGAATGCCCAAGCCAAAAGCAAGACGAACTCTGAGTTTCTCCCCGCCCCACCGGATTTCCAGTACTGCCACGAACAAGTGCTTCCCGACATCACGTATCGCAAGTTTGACGACGCTTTAACAGGAATAGCTCCATCACTGGAAAGACCCGACACGCTGGACCACTGGTTTAAGACAGGAGGCGATGCCAGCGCCCGACTCACGGTACTGAGGACCGCGGTCTTCTATGCGCAGAGCACAGACTTCAGTAACATATTTAAACACTTAATCAATCATGTCTCACTACCGTCGTCACCTCTGCGCCATACTAATAGTAAGCGCATAAACGTTTAATCCTCGCCACGGAAGTACGGAAGGGCCGTGAAGGGCCGGTTCCTTGTTGGTTCTTTGTATACCTGTTCCACATCACGCATTTTGCTCTGCTTGGCTGCTTTCGTTATCGAGACTAACTGGTAGCGCGTTTGGCGGTTCGACGCTGCAAGGCGGACGGGAGGCTTGGCCACCTTGCAATTGTTGCCTCCTTTTTTTGTTTTGGGGGGCTCGGGACAGACAACAGCAGCAGAGGCCTTGACTGACAGCCAGCAAAAGGTGTGATTGGCTGTGTCCTGTGGCCTGCGTCATGAGCTTAGTTTAAGATCGCAAGCAGACACCCGTTCAAGAACTATCCGACGATCCGTCAACGATCGTTCCAGACCGGACCGGGAACAGACGGGCGATGCTTCGCGTTGCTCGAGGGATCGCCGTCCAGCAATCTTCAATCGGGTCCCGTTATGCTCCTGGGTAGTTCTTGTAGCATGCGCCCATAGAGTGCGAGGTCCTCTTCTTTGGACACTCTCGATGGCAAGGTGGTGTTGGGAAGGAGGCCGCACCGTGTTAACCGTATTGCTGTGGGGGCAGCACGATCGCTGTGTACGGCGTGTACGGCCGGAACTCGCGGCAGACAAAAAGTGCGACGGGCCGTAGTGAGAATACCAGGTATACGTGGACAGGGATGGCGAGTGTTCGTGTAACTGAGTATTTTGATCCTGGGAATCAACGTTTTAGCTTCCCCTTCTATTTTGTTTTAGACTAAATTTGAAATACCTAAACAAAATCAATGATCAGTATTGGCAGGGAGAGTCATAGGACAAATGGTGTGGTTAGTTATGCCTATAGCGTCGCATTATGTTCATATTTGTTCATCGTGATTTTCATTATCTGATGTTGCGATCTGTTTGGCCAAATAAAGCTCATCCTATAAATCCCAGTTTGCTATAAACTCTGCTTATTTTTATGGTGTCTGCGAGAAGCAGTCCCCGAAGGATGCCAAACCGGCATGCATTTTTCTTTTCGTTTGGCCCGCACGCCTTTTAACTTTGTTACATAACGGCCAAGCAAACAAAGCGTTCTTTTTTTTTTTTTTTTTTACTCTAGGTAATCTGAGCATACGGAGCAGACAGGAATTTCGCAAGAGCTGCACGACCCGGACGTGCTTCCAAAGCAAAATAAAAACGCTAATGACACAAAACAAAAAACAAACAAAAAAGCGACGAGCGCGTGCTTTTTTTACACATGCTCCCTTCGTCAATAAGCTGATAGTCAAGTGGGAGCCTACGTGTTGGCTAGACCGATCAATCGCCCGTGTTGTATCACGCACGTCTATCACCAAACGTATATGCACCGTGAAGAATTTCTTCGTGTGGTCGAAGGCTATTTGTTGCTTGGTCCGGCCAACACGTAGCCTCCACCCTAGTGTCAGTTTCTGGGTGCACGGAGCAGGGTGGTTCCTCGCCGGAAAGCCGCACGACCAAATAGCGAGAAAAAGGAGTACCGGAGGGAATACACAAAGAGTGAGCTAAATACAAGGGGTAAAAATGGGGCTGCTTGAACCTCCACCCTCTCTTGCTTTTCGCGCTGTCAGTGCAAGTCACAGCTGCGGCGCGTATCACGTCTTCGAGGGCGGACAGCAACATGTCGGGCTCGTAGTATTACTTCCGCCAGCTTAGTCTCATGTCGAGCGGGAGACCTCAGGGGAATTCAGGCAAAGGTCGCCTCCGGGGTCACACCCGGCTACGCCGCGAATAATCGTTCGGAAAGTAATTTTAGTCAGGTGTTGCCACTGGCGATGCATTACCTCGAGAAAAAGAAAATAAACGTTGATACTATGTGGTCAAGATGAAATGTAACTAAATGAGTTAATAGCCCCGGAGTAAACATTACAATGCAGGTTTCAATTTTAGGCTTAAACAATTACTGCTTGAATTACAATTGAAGGCATTTTAGTTACAGTTTTTTTTTATGTTGGTTGCGTGCTCGGTGAGGTTATAGACCCCGCCGAACACGCACACTCCATTAGATTGCCCCTGGGGATCTTTGAAGGTCAAGCGAGATCTCAGTCACACCGCGATAACCTGTCATTCGGTTACGGAGATCTCGGGCGGAGTCACGTGAGCCTACCGTCTGAAACGTAGACACGAGGGACTTTTGTATAAACGGGGGGTGATGTGCTAGAGCGAATATAACAATATAACCGCGGCTTCTAATTTGACTAACGGAATGTTTGTAAAACAGCACTGACAGATCGGGAGCATTTCTAAACGCGCATATTTTTAATGTGTGAAATGTATTCTAACGGAGCTAAACCTAAGACTAGATCCCCTGTCCATCCCCTCGCCAGTCACTGGCAAGCACCAGCGCATGTTACCAGCGGATCGCAAAACACTGGCGGGAGTGCTTTCAAATAGTAGACGTTATTTGGCGCTGTGCGCATCGCCGATTCCGTGTCATCAGTTCTTACATCGTCTTCCAAGAGAACGACTCTTTCGACCTAGGCGCCAAAGAAGGCTCGGGTCGCGAAACGTAAAAGCAAGAGCTTCGCAGTCGAACGTGGCCAAAGCCCGGGAGGCGAAACACAAGCGCTTAGTAAGAGCCTGTCAGTGTGCAGGGGCCCGCCGGATGCCGAGCCGAGGTGACGCAATCTAACCATAAAACCAAAAAAAAAAAAAATGGTTACTTTGATGCGAAGCGTTTATTATGCATGAACTGCATTCATTGGGCATACGGAACGCCAGATGAGTAATAGTCGAACAAATGTATATGGATTACAAAAGAACAAATAAAAGAAATATAAATAGAGAGTCTTACAAATATGAAATACGATTCAAAAGCTTTACAAATCAAAGAACATCACAAGTCGCACAAATAAACCGAGTGTTGCAAAATCTACAAAACGGTGGCCTCTCATGCATTATCAAACTTTGCTTCGAAGTAGCGGTCAATTATTTTTCTTTTTCTGCGCAGCGATTTCTCCCAGTACGGTGAACCCAACGAAGGTGAATCCACACAATGAGATACCCAAGCTGAAACCGGTATCACTGGGGCATTCGTGCAATGTGACGGGCGAGTGCAAGCTCAGGGACAAGCAGAGCGCGTGCATCGACGGTGTCTGTGAATGCCTCAACCCCACGTCGTGGTGCAGCGCATCGCATGCTGGTAAGTTGCTTCACCTAAAAGGGCCACTGACAACCCCAACAACAATATATTTTTATTAATATTATTATTGCAAACGACTCAAAAGGATTTATATGGATCGCCCGAAAAATATCAAGCCTGAGAGTGACAACTGCGTGTTTGCAGAAAAAAATTTTTTTTTTTAAAGCTTTTGATCTGAAACGCACGCCCGAATATATGACGCAGATGATGGCGAATGGTGCACTCCTTGCTTTTTTGGATGACTGAAAACAGGAAGTGTCCATTAACTCTCCCTCTTTCCCTCTCATCGTTCAAGGGCACGGTCACGTGCCACCAGGTCAACCACGAGAGCATTTCGGGAGACCTTTATTCGCGTGCAAACGACGCGTCACTTTTCAGTTCCTCTTTTCTTATCGGTCTAAAACGATTTTTAAGAAGGTAAGAAAGAAAACGCCGTGTAGCAGACATTGGTGAGCGACGTGACGGGCAATGTCGCAAACGTGCTCCTGAGAGGTTATCCGAAAAGTTATCCAGCACCAAAAAAAAAAAAAAAAAAAAATTACTCCCAGCCGTTTTCGACTTCCCTGTTGTGCACACCCCTCTCAACGCCTTCAGCACAGCCGCAGGGTGCCGCCGTATTGAGAGTAGGAAGAAAAAGGTAAGAGACGAGCGATGTTCCGTCATTAACACTTCCGGTCTCTTATTTTTATTTTTCCAATTAATCATTGTAGTACCGTTACAGTCCTCGTAAACAACCTACTTTATGAATGACAGCAATAATTTTTATAGACATGCAACTTGAGACATCTCTTAAAGAGGTACAAAAACTAAAATTGAAATATACGGAAACCTTTCCGAAATGGGTGAAATATGGCCTATGATATCCGCAAATGACAACCGCATGTGCATATTTTGAGCGGATGTCTATATTTCTCGTTTCAAGCCTCCGATTCTAGCGAGCGCTTCGAAATCGGCCATCGAGGCTTGCGATTGTCATGAAAGGTCCGTCACAATCATGACGTCAGGCTTCTCAGCACAGCCAAAGGCTGGCGTAGAGTTCCTGTATATGCTACCTACGGTAGCAGAGTTGCGCATTCAGCCTCGGCGCGTGGCCGTAGAGCCGGCTTCCCCGCACGAGCTGGATGCTTTGCTCCTCACGTGACTAAATTTGGCGAATAGCGGCGCCGCGCGCGCCGCCGCGCATGGAAAACAGGAGAGGAGGAAAAGGAGGCGGAAAGCAGGGAAACATACGCCGGGGCAAGAGAGACGTCGGCGGAGCGACCGTAAAGGTGGCTTTCTTGCACGCCACCGGATGCTTTGCTCCTCACGTGATGGATCTCGGCGAATAGCGGCGTGGCGGCGCGGGGAAAACAAATGCGCAACTCTGGCTCCCGTAGGGAGCCTATACAGGAACTCTAGGCTGGCGTGATTATGAGCGCCGCCACGCGGTGACTTTTGCGTGTCCTGACATATTCATTTTGCGTGTCGTGACCAGGGTGTAAGATAGACAGGTGGGGAAACGGCCCTTAGAAGTCTACCGCCGCGCCGTGACCGGATTGTGTACTCGTCTGCTTGCGGGTACCCCCGATTTGCGACAGATGGCGCTGCGGCGAGAGGAAAAAAATCGGAATCGGATTTGCATGGAACTCTATCGGAGAGTGCGGAAAATAAAACGAGAGCACGACAGTCCTCCATTGAAGATCCACGAGAAACCATGTCCGTCAGTTTAGTCGGTCGCCAAAGGTCGCCCACCCGGAGTGAGAGTTCGCGGTGCTCCACATAGATGGCGCCATAGAAAAAGAGAAAACCGAGGGAGACACAATCCGGTCGCTCATTTGGCTCTCGTTTCCCCACTTGTCTATCTTACACCCTGGTCGTGACGACCGTCGTGACGTATTCATTTCGGTCCATCTAGTGCGCGGTGCGTTCCGCCATTATCTGCACTCTAAGAAATGCCTGCGCGTCTATTTACCCGAAAAACATTCAAAGAGCCAATCTCTGCGATCTACGAAATCAGCTCAACGAATGATGAAGCGGAACATCTGTTTAGACCTCAAACTAAGTCTGCACAGTGGTATTACGCAATGCAAGCATGACGCTTTGCGTTGCGTAACGCCACACAGCAGACTTCATTTTTAGGCCTGAACGGATGTTCCGCTTCATCATTCGCTGAGCTGATTTCGTAGATGGCAGAGATTGGCTCTTTGAATGTTTTGCGGGTCAAGTAGACGCGCAGGCATTTCTCAGAAGGTATGGACTCGAGAGGACGAGAACTGCGACTAGGGGACTCGGTCGATGTCGGCGAGGACGAATAGTCACTCTCGCACATTTCGACGGACAGGCGATTCGGGCTAGAACCGTGCGAACCATCCGACAGACCGACCGTCCGGCCAACAAAATCTGAAGGGGGGGTCGCGGTCGCCAAGAAATGCCTCGCATTTGATAATGATTGACCAACTTGGAGGTATGCGCTATTAAGTGTTTTATTAACAGCGTGCTCACTTACCAGTTTGCTTCGCTTTTCGTGCGGTTCGCTGAGCTCTTCTGGTTTTCTTTTTTTGGGAAAACAAAGTAGTGGACACAACCCCTGGTGGCAACCGAATATTCTTGGTACGAAGACCCAGACTCCCGAGGACAGTGGGTCGCCTTTCATATTCCTCATCGCGAACATGGTCACCGTACAGGCCATCGGCTTTCACCGGCGCCCGAGATACGACGGACGCGCGAGACGGATCCACACGCTTCGGAATTTCTCACCGTTCGGAAACCCGATGGGCGGCGTCTCGTAATTCAGCACGCTGTTGCCACAGCTTTCCCCCGCCCCGCGCGAAGCAGCGAGATTGCGTCATTGCGTTCACGGCTTGGGTATTTCTATGAGTACAATGTACCGCCGAGGATGGCGCCACTGCGGAAGGAGCAACACGTCGCGATCCCCAACAAAGCTTCGGCCCCCAATTATTAGGTGCAAACGTAAATTCGTTTTATTCGTTTTAAAATTACTTTTCTTGCTTTACCAAACGAGAAACTGATGTTGCTCAAATGCTGATGCGACGCGGTATATTCCTAAGCAATAAAATGAGCCCAAAAATTTCGTTTCCTTACCCCTTCAACGTTTTCAAAAATGCCTTCGCCAATTACGCCACAAAAAAAAAAAAAAAAAAAAAAAAAAAAAAAAAGTAGACGGAGTTTAAATTTGGGGATGTGGACGGGCTCTTTCGTGCGCCAGAATTATTTTTCTCGTGGTTATTTATTTTTTTAGTGTGTTTTGCCACGCGCTTCCAAAGTGGTTCAGGCGGTAAAAATGAATGTCGATTTTGAGGTTTTCAGTGGCTCTTTAAGGATCTACCTAGTATAAGCTTGCCTCAGAAACGTTGTATACATTCGAGATGTCAGAAGCAAGCAAACGATGAACGTCACACAACCTAAGAGTCTGCCTTCTGTTGGTGCTGCGTTACAAAGGATTGGGATGCAGCGCTCGGTGTGGTAACGTCCACGTGATCTTCTGTCCAGGCTGCCTCAGCGACACGTTCCAGTGCAGGAACGGTCAGTGCATCTCGTGGTACTTCGTTTGCGACGGCATGAAGAACTGCGCCGATGGCAGTGACGAGTCCGGCTGCAAAAAACACAGTACGTCCTCGCTCGTGTGCCTTTCGAGCCCCACGGGCAGTGGAGACACACTAACAAGGCCGTGAGTTTGCCTTATCGCAAAGCGCTTGGAGAGCTAATCACTGGAATCCAAGGGTGGAGCTGGGTGAATGATAAGGCCGAAATTATGTCTAGACTTAAAACTGAAGTCCGCGATGCGACATTACGCATCATGTTTCACGTGGTTCCGTCATGCCCCTATCGGACACTTCAAGTTTAGGTCTAAACATATTTTCCGCCATACGCGGAACTTCCGACTCCGCAGAGCGTATATGTGGTTGGCTCTTCGCACGCCCTGCGGGAAAGTGGACGCACGAGCGCTTTTTAGAGTGTCTGGATGTCAACCTCGAAAATATTATGATTTCTAAAAGTCATTGGCGCCTTAGACACTTCCTTGTTGTTTATACACATAGATTTTGTTTCCGCAAAATTTCGGGTAATTCAGATACGTAGCATATCGGAATTGTCGGGTAAGTGTACAAGCGTCCTGCAATGCTCACGAGGTTTTATTCTGTGTGCCTTGATGATATACGAAGGCAAACGTTCGCGCGGATGACGAATAACTGCAGTCTACGGAGGGAGGTCTGCGAATCACTCGATCAAACATCGTTTTGGGCCACAAATGAGGTGTACGATGACACACTTTGCACGACTTCTCGTACGCGGACGTCGTGTTCAATCTTCAAAAGAGAAACTCCAGTTTGCCTCTCAAAACGTTTTGCCGGCACCATCGTTCCTCAATTGGCTACCGTACATCGAAGTACTGTCTACTCTGCGTGCTCTATGATGAAGGAGAAATGACATAGGCAGAGATTTATTTATATCTCATAACACAGCCCAGAACTGTTTCACTCAAAAAAAAAAAAACATGACTGTGCAGCAAAACCTAACATATTGTCGTAAATGGGCTCCCACCAATCATGTTTCAAAAGGTTAGTCGTTTTAATTTAGTGGAGGCACTAACATCCCGATGGTTGTAATCGACGAGAATGCTTCAAGCAATATTTCGCATTTGTTGTGTGTCAAAGAAAGGGTGCATTACTTTAACAGCCTGCTTAAAGTGTCTAAATTGCATAGAGGTGGTATATCCTGAGTAAGGTTTATCGGTGAAGATATATCTAGCATGAAAGGAAATCATCGTTTGTTGACTTCGGTTGAAAGTTTGGGGCAATGATTTTTTGTATTTTCATAAAATATCGCTTATAATTATGTGTCGACGTTTATAAGCCACAAAACACGCGTTATTTTTTTTCATCGTGCAAAGGTAGTCGCAGCAAAAAATTTAAAGTTAAACGAGCACCCTTCACACACACTCGCAGACTGAACAAGCGACCACGTGATGTGGTGATGATTATATGCCGCTAATGTTCATCGTAGCCACGCGACGGGGTTGGAAAAGCACACATAGTTTAAAGTTCTCACCTTGCTAGATTTCAGCTATTCTTGTTATTGCAGCTATTGGACACGAGCCACTCCTCCAATGCTCGTCGAGGCATTGATTGTCACGAGCCCAAATCGAGTGCTCATGTCGTATAATGTATAATCTATGAGCCGCATTTGACTACCCCATGATACGTCGTCAAGTTTCTTGAAGAGACTGAAGAAGACGTACGCTTTTATCAGTGAAATTACACCGCAAAAATGTAGCCTCTTAGACAGTGGAGTGGCTCGCGAATATACTTGGGTCCCGCTATTACCAGTAAGCTCGTGTAAAGTAAGAAAAATCTCAACCCAAATATCGTTGCACGGCCCTTTTAGCACGTGCCTGATAATGAATGGGGCGAGGAATATTTTCAGAGTAAAGCATGTAATTACTTTGATCCCTCACTATTCCTCTCTTCGGGTACGTTCAACCATACCTGGAGGCGACAACGTCGCTTTCTTTCTTCACTAATTCATTCTTCAATCTGCTCCTCTATCTGGCTTGCAAAAACTCACTACGAACTGTTGTTATCAAATTCTAAGATGTTCATTCGTTTTGTTACCATTAACAAAACATAACCTAGTAAAGTTCGCAAACAGTTCACCTGCAGAAACGTTGAGAGTAGTTTACTAGGAACCATTCATCTGCGTACATTGTCTCGAAAGCCCCTGAAAGCAGCCCGAGAATTGTTGCCCCCCTAAAGCCCCTTAATAAAATTCGCTCTTCGCTTTTCTTACAAGCCCCAACAACTATTATTGTGCCATGGCCACAAGACAGTAGGTTCCCGCTCCACTGGGAACGGCCTGCCGAGTGGTTCTTTTTACCGCTGAAACGAGTGTTCTCCGAGTGGCCGCAGTCAGTGTTACTGGGCCTGGTGGCGCTGAACAGCGGAGTCAGCCGAGACAGCCAGTAGAAACGGCTCTGGTTGACGGTAGCTGGCGTAAAAACAGCGAGTGCGGTGCGAGGCACGACCAACGCTTTTCTTCAATCTTGAAATCGCGGCGATGATGTCGCAGCTATCGGGCATCTAGCATCATGATCAAAGCCCGAGCCGGCTGACATTTGCAGTGCCACGTGGATGTGTATCGGCGACGTGCGCGACCGAAAGTGCCGCTGTTGTCGGCCTTCCAGGATTGGCCAAGCACTCATTATTACGTTTAGAGTATGATGAATTTAATTTCCATCAATGAAAATAAGAGGAACGTGAGACTGTCTACTTTGACGCTGTTGGTTTAAGAACGCCATGACTCCAAGCTTCCACCGTGCTTTTTACGCTTACCACCGAAATGGTCGTTGACTATTGATAATTATGGTTGCGACGTCACAAATAGGAACCATACGAGGGAGCCACTGCAACATCCCGTAGCCGATAGACCTAATTTACAGAAGCACGAAGGAGCATGCTGCGAGTGAAGTTACCCGCTCTGCACGTACTAGCAATTGCAGCAGTAACTGTTCTGAAGAGCAAAAAAAAAGAAAAAAAAGTACAACAACTGTCACGCTGCATGTGCATTCGCCAACGCCTTTTTTGTAATATTTACTTGGAATCTTTCATTCATGCAAGGCGAGCGCGTGCAGCGTTTATACCTACATTCATAGCACCCCCTGGTGCTTAGGTAATTCAACGAAAGATCTGTTGACCGCGTGTGCATGCTCAAAAACTCGAAGCTCACCTTGTGTCCTGGTACTACTAAGGTACCACGGAATTAACCCATTATTATTAAAGGCCAAACGAACGTCGGATGTGGCGGCGTTATAGAGCAGTCGGCTTAGTTGCCAAGGATTTGTTAAACTACTTTCCGCGTGAAAAACAAACTCAATATATTAATCTCGAATCTGTTTTTAATAGAGGGCATTGCATACTGATGAAATCATTGATATAAAATATATTTCAGAGTGAAATCAATGCTTTTGTGCGAGAAATTTTACAGTGCAACATTGTTATGTAACCGCGACCTAGGAACGAGAAGTCAGACCGGATCAACGCGAGCAAAATCCGCTCTTCACTCCGCGAAGGGGCGCCAGAACCAGGAGTGACTGAAGTGAAACAAGTGTGTCGAAGGTTCGCTCACATTTCTGACAGACGCCGTGAGTTGGCGCAGCATGTCTACGGTAAATAAATAATATATAAGGAATCCTATGCTTTACATGCATCTCTTGATGATGCGGAAGTGATCAAGTAGTCGTGGTTGTGTGAACCCCATGACAGGTACCACGAGCTAGGGCTGGAAGAACGACATAGCGTCCCGCTAGCAGGTAGTTACTGAACGTCATATTTGAGTGCGCTGCTCGTAGAGTATGATCAGAACGAGCTCACACGTATAGGCAGCCAAGACCGCCAATCTTGATGGCGTAGAATGCATGTTACAAAAGCACCGTGGAAGCTCGCCGTCAGCACGCGCTCAGTAGCCAGGAACTCAGTCATGGCCGCCTGAGAATACCCCCTATACAACGCAGTCTGGATAGGTCATTTCAATGATGTGCCGCGAGTTGCTTCTAAGGGCCAGAAGAGGCACGGGTCTCGTGCGCGGGCGTATTTGACGCTACTTGCAAGACAAACACAAACACATCAAGGGGCTTGAGATAGTTTAGAGTTCTACCTACCACCTTTCGATGCCTTCGGGATTTGTTGAGTGTGCGCATCGTAATGCATCGTACTTCTGTCCCATTTCAAGGCTGCCCACCCATGTCCTTTCAATGTGACGACGGAACCTGCAAGTCTAAGGCTTCCGTCTGTAATGGCAAGTGGGAATGTCCGGATGGAAGCGACGAAGCGCGTTGCTACAAAGGTAAGTGATAAATAGAGATGGATACACTCATGCTCTCACCCGACCCGATGTCACTCGACGTGGTCACGTGACGTGACGCCACGTTACATCACTACTTCGCACGGTGAGTCGCGTAACACCGTGATGTCATGTGAGCCGGCGTGGCCTGGTGCACGTCACGTGGCCTCCTGACCCATTGTGGCGTTGCACTAAGCTAGGTGTAAATTTAGCCTGTTACATTTACGGATACGATGACGGTGGGGCAACGCAAATTCCGAATGCGCTTCCATCAGCAGAAGCACCCCCGAGAAAGAAAGGTGTGAACCGCCCCACCACTCTCGCCCTGGTGTTTGAGACAACGCGGCGCCGCTTGCGGTGATTTCACCGCCGGCCGTCGATCACGTGTGATAATCTCTTTTAGTGCCAACTTTAATGTTTGGACATGCGCATTGCGCTCCATTGGTTGTCTGGTCTATGTCGAAAAGGTGTGGGCCCCTGTTTGCGACTGTGGTATCCTTGAACGGATACATACATCTCTCACTCTTATCAATAGCTAAGCGTAAAAAACAACCACGTTTGGCTTTCCGAACGCATTGCGGGGCAGTATGCACTGTGGAAAATATATCTACACCTGTCGGCAAGCCGGCTCTTACGTGGTCGGTGACTAAGCAAGCGGACCACACAAGGACCATCCAGTGACTACGTGTTCGAACCATAATAAATCATTAAGGCATCGAACAGACACGGAGTGGATTTCCGCTCCTGTTTATTAAAAATTCGATTAATGGGAGGCAGCTATGTCAAACAATGATACATGGGATAAGTACAGCACCGGGACAATTGTCCCGCGCCACGCGCTTCGCGAAAAAGCCTTACCCACGGGCCGACATTTGTCGTACCCGCCAGCATCGGCCGTCAAAACACCGTATCTGCGCGACCTACTTCACTTGCACAAGTCAACGGCGAAAGAAGAGAGATATGTCTGAACGGGCGCCGCCTCGCCATGGAACAAGTGTGTCGAAGGTTCGCTCACATTTCTGGCACACGCCTTGAAATGGCGCAGAATGTCTAGGATAAATAAATAAAGAACGACAACCAACCAATCACTAAAAATAGGAACCCTACGTTAGAGATCTGCGCGGGCTCGGGCCAATATATGGGAGCACTGTTCGGGTTCGAGTTTGTTCGGGCCGATTTATCACGAACTGCGTCGAGCTCGAGTCGGGCCTCTTTGGAGGCGTCGAGACCCCACGACCCGATCTTGCCAAATATTTTGGAATTTGGGTAAATATAGTTTATATTCGAAAACCCAAACAAGTAGCGGAAAGTTTGTTTTAACATAAAAAGCGCCAATCCGGATATTTTGCTTCGGGCCATTAGGTTCTACACTGTAAAAAATGCCCGTGGGTCTACTTTTCTGCAAAACACTGGGAGAACCAATCATCGCAACTTACATAGGCAGCTCAGCGAATGACGATGCCGAAACATATGTTTAGGCCAAAAAACACAGTCTGAGTTGTGACATTAAGCATCCACGCGTGACGTTTTGCATTGCTTAATGTCACAACTCGGAGTACGTTTTTTGATCTCAACATATGTTTCATCATCGTCATTCGCTGAGCTGCCTCCGTAAGTTGCAGTGATTGGCTCCCTGAGTGTTGTGCGGGAAAGTATATGCACGGGCTTTTTTTAGAGTGCATTCTCAGCTCCATCCTACCCCATCTTCCGCCCATGGGGGCTAAGTTCGACATCAGCGAGTTGCTCCAGGAGGTGTTGGTTGGTCGCAGCGGGATTACCGCCCGCAGCGATTGGTCAGCACCACGCCTGCCGTGTTAGCGAACGCTCGGGAAAGTCACAAATATACCGGTCACGCAACTGTGAGCCGACGTCACAATCTTGATAGCAGTTGCAATCGCATGAGGCGTGGCGCTTTCCAGTTGCGGCAGGAGACAAACTCGCCGATCAACTCGCCGATGTGGAACTCAGTATAGCTCCCCACGCGTCCCGTGGGAAAGCCCATACCATTTTGTTTAAGCGTGTTGTTCGTTGAAATATTCATGCGCCGTTGCAGCGGGCTGAACAACTAAAAAATTTAACCGGATTATTCGCTACCGATTAGCCGAATACTTCTAAAATTAATCGATCGCGTTGACCTCCAGGCTTAATATACGATACTATAAAACGCCCAAACATCACATTTTCTGCCTATTCGTTACTTTGCATCAATGGCGAAACAAAGATAATTATCTGAAACACGTATCGTCGTTCTAGAAACAGCCCGAGTAAATAAAATGGCTGTGCAGCATACATGGGTAAATTATTTCCAAAATGTAATTTAATTATAATTACAATTACTCTGCTTCAAAAGTAGTTTACCTACAACTACAATTACTACTATGTGAAAAGTAATTAATTACAATTACAAATTACTTTTCAAAAGTAATGGAATTGCTTTACAATTACTTATTTCTGAGAGCAACCCCCCCGACGTGGGCCATATAACTTTAAACAAGTTGCAAAGAATGCAGCGTATTCTTTCATTCCTTACCCCAATGTTTACGTGTTTTACTTTCCTTTTATGAATTTCGTTAAATTCATGATAGAACTTGAGAGTATAGGGCAATCAAGTACTACGTTCTTATATTTTTAATAAATAATAATAAATTAGTTCTTATGCTGGAAGACGCCACATTGCTACAGAAAAAATTGGGTTGGCAGACGTTTGTTAGCCAGGAAAATAAAAATGTGACATTTAGTCATATAGGAATATTTTGCAAGTGTTAATATAAAAGTAAAATCCACACGCGCTAATACGACCACATTTACATACAAGCATTATGGTATTGTAAATTGTTTACATTGAGTTGAAACTATGATGGATCAGAAATATATAGGCGCCGAATCGGGGCTCCCGAATCATTGGTGACAATATTCCCGGGTGCGAGGTCAGTCTCCAAAGTGCTTATGCAAATAATATCCAAAGTGAAAACAACAGACAATAAACTTGAAAATACCACAAATATACACATATGCGACATTACTGGAAGAGGGACGTAAAAATACTGCCAAAAAGAAAGAAAAATAACTTGATAGACAATTAAAATTCCCAACCTCGGCTGATAGCTGAAGGTCAATATTTTCTTTCAATATTTTGGTATATTTATGCTATTGTTTTCTGCTCGCACTGCAGACGGCGCTACATGGCGCCATAAAGGTAGGCTCCAACGGGGATTGTCTCTCAGCCCGCAAAGTAAGCAACAAAATAAACAATGAGAAGCTATTTATGTTGTCCGTGTATGTGAGTGTTTCACCGAGAGCTAGGCCGCTTGTGCGAGCACTGAGGCTTTCAGAGAGGTTCCGTCAGCGCCGCAAAGTTTTACAAAAGTAATTGTAATTGTGCCTGAAATTGTGCAATTACTTAAGCTGAAATTAACTAAATTACAATTACAATTCTTTTTAGGCAAAAGAAATGATTTACAATTCCAAAATTACCAATAAAATTAGTTAAATTGCAGTAATTCAATCACAGTAATTGAATTACTACCCAAGTATGCTGTGTAGTCCTTTGAAACAAATGTGTTTAACTTCCGAGATTGGAAATTCTCGTTCAATATGAACGGTGGCATATAAAACGAAGATAGAACTAATAGAAAACAGAGTCGGGCTCGGGCCGCGTTCGGGTCTGGTTCGGCGTGATTCGGGCCGGGTTCGGGTTGGATTCGTGTCGAAAAGAGTACTCGGGCTCGAACCGGGTTCGTATCAAATTTGTTTTTGGTAAGGTCGGGCGCGAGCTTACGTTTAGAAAGCCCACTTTGGGTTCATGCCGGGTTCGGGCTAAGGCTTTATCGGGCCGAGTTGGGTAGGGCCTAAAAATCCGGCCCGATCTAATCACTACCCTATGTTTCGAGGCCTATACTCGGCTCTTCTTCAGGGATGACTATTGCGATGGCCAATGAGGAGCAGTATTTTTTATTTTCCTTCAGCGATACGGTCAAGCCCGTTGACATAGACTGTTGGCAAAGCCCAACACCTATTTATGTTTCCTGGCGTCCTTGAATGTGCCAGGTTGTTGTCTTTCAATAATTGTTTTCCCAACCAAAAATATGTTTCTCAAATGTTTACTTTCAAACATGTCTATAGTAAGTTACAGGTCAACAAGGTAGCGGCAAATGCCCCTCAAAGGGATTCATATATCCCTCCGCCACCTCCGCATCCAGTATCGTCCCATCGTTTCCGTGACGTCGTGGCCAACGCGGGAAAGGGTTTTGCCTTCCTGTAAATATTTGCTTTTTCTTTCGACTTTGACTTAGCATTGTTGAAGCCACGAGAGGAAGATTAGAGTTTTCCCCCTCCGATGGAAAGAAATACGACCTTTGGGGGGTTAAGTTCCCCCTCCGTTGGATAGAAAGGCCACTTTCAGGGGCTCAGTTCCCTCTCTGATGAATGCAAAGGTCGCTTTCTTAAAAAGTGGGGGTCGGAGACAAGTTGGCATCACTCTGTAGCCAATATCTATTAATTGAAGCGGAACAAGGGATGTTTCCAGCGAACTATTTTTTCGACTGCGGATGGGTTTGAAACGGGCGCATCACACTTGTGGGAGGAGCTTCTTCTACCTCCTTGACTTGTAACCGACTATAGTGGTTGTAGAGGGCCTTTGAGAGCCACTCGAAGGGCCATCTTTATACGCACGCACACTGCAAGGCTCGAGTCGACTAGCCCTCAGTCAGTATGCAGACCTCCTAGGGGCGGATTTAGAGGGGGGGTCCGGATGTCCTGACCCCCTCTTGATTTCTGCATGTGTAAAATTTAGGGCGTGAAACGAGGGAGAGGGGGAGGGGGTTCCTAAACTTATGGTACGCTGACCAACACCTGACCCCCCCCCCCCCCCCCCCTCTCAGGAAATTCCTGCATCCGCCCTTGCGTGCTCTTGACGGGAGACACGAGAACCCCGAACAAACTTTTGCCACCTTGGCTGACCTTGTTCAGACGCTTCTTTCCTCTTCTCTGTGCCCAAGTCCTACGCTGACGTCCAGTAGACAGAGGGAGCTCGTCCAATGGTGCGCCCTCTTTTATGGGCGACTCCAGCGACCTAAAGGAGGCGCGCTAGTCAGGCAAAATGGCGAACGAAAGGAGGTCCCGTCTCGTCGTTCAGCATACGAAAAATAACAGTTTTCTGGCATTGCAGAATATAATCAAGCTGAAATATGAAAGCAAAGAACTTCTTTCACGCTAGGAACTTTCTCCCCTCACTACGAGAGAGTGACGTTGAAAGCCTAAAAAGAAGTGCGGTAAAAAAGTTTTGTTTTATCTTTAACTCTATTCACGCAGCTTTGCGGAAGATAGATCTTTGGTTTATTTCGGGGGCATTCAATTCTGTAGGAACCGTCATCGCATTCCCACCCGTCACTTGAAAACTGCAGGTCACTGGACAACTGGTCCCACCGGCCTTCTGGATCTAGGTCGTTACAGGGGGCCGTTCGTCACCGGAATACTGGTCGCAAAGTCATTTGTGTTCTGGTGGAATCAGCGTCAACCTTGACTCACACGAAAGAATCCCAAAGCCGGAAATTATTTCGATATTTTTTTTTCTTTTTAACTAGTGAGAAAAATTTGATTTCGACTTATAATTAGGTTTAGGATGTTCGTAAGTGGTATAACTACGTTCAGGAAAATTCAAACTAACGAACACTCCACAGCCCGCTTCGCTGCTTTAAGACCAGAAATGTTCGTATCACTCCACTACGAAATGTTTTACACACCTACCAAAAAAAATGCAGTTCTAGCATTGAATAGGGTTAACAACTACTGCAATGCAATCGATAACATTGCACGAGTCCGTCAGTATTGTGGCCGTTAGTGGCACCCATACTTATCATGGGGATCAAACAGCCCGCTCTACAAGGGTACGCCACAGCATGAAGAAAATCCGCAAGATATATACATTATTTTAAGGCTCGAAAATGACAGTGGGCTCATTCTTTACTTGTCGTTTTTCAACTTCTTTTCTCAGCTTTTTTTCAACTAGAGATAATAAAACGACCTTCCGCATCGAATTCCACTTGATATCGAAGGCTTCTTGATATTCGAAATCGTTTCCGAAATCAGCACACTTCGGAATATTTAAAGCAGCGTCGAGCTAGCTATTTAACACATTTGTATGATCTGCATAAGTTCAATAAAGACAAAGTTCGTTCTATGACATACTTGTCTTTAAATTTGTCATGCCAGTTGTGAAGACTGCTAATATAATAATCCTTCATATTGAGAAAAAAAATAACAATACGTTGTTTCACGTGCTATGCAAGTCAGGGGCGCGAGCGAGAAGCCTAAAATGCGCTTATCGCGTGGGCTTACACGACAAGAGTTCTTCTCCAAAGCTCCACGCCTAATCCTTGGGTTCTGTTTAGCGGTATGCAAATTCTGCATGATCACGAGTAATTGTATTTCATATCTGCTTTATTTCAAAGCAATATAAAATTCTGCAAGGACTGTAAATCGTTATTCTTTTTTTTTTCGGGTGCCTTGAAACGGCGTTTTTTTTAATGCACCAACTCGTACAAAACAAAAAAAAAAATTAAACAGAAACAGCCAAAGAGACACAGCACCAAAAACATCATATAATAAGTCAGTAGAAGCAGTAGAAACATCAAGGAGAAGCAATCAGAAAACCAAAACTACTAAAGCAATAATTTTTCTTAAACTAAAAATAAATATACATAAATATATAGACAAATATAGTGACAGGCTATGAGGTGACCAAAAGTTATTTTTATCTTTTGGTCACCTGTGAGTTGAAAACAAAATAATTATTTTGTTTTCAACTCACAGGTAGAAAACAAAATAATTATTTTGTTTGCAACTTAAATTGTAGATGGTAACTCACTCTTTCAGACACTAACTAGTCATATTACAAAACCCAGTTAACTTGATTTTTTGCGAAAAAAAAATCACACGTCGAATTTTATATTTAAAAAAAAAATTAAGTGCTACGGCGAGTGATCCCTGTGACGAGTATTCCGGCGTGACAAGAATTCCTTGTACGAAATGACCAGTGACGAGTTGGCCTACCGGACGAGTTCACCTATGACCAGTTGACCTATGACGACTGGACTTGTGTAACACCGCCGAGAAGAGAAGGCCGTAGTGCTGACGTTTTTGCGTCACGAGCGAAGTCCAACGCTGGACACAGGTTAGAAACGAGTGCTGCGTTAGCGCTCGGCTTCGAGTCGAGTTTGAGCCGAACGTTGACGCAATCCTCGTATCCACTCTGTGCCCAGCGTTGGCCTTCGCTGATGACGACATCTCATTCAGCACTACGGCTTTGTTATCTAGGAGTTGCTGGCTTCGTGACTAGTTCCTCTAAACCCAAATTTTGCGAGCTGGAAGATATAGAGACCCCCGAGCCCCTCAACATTGTGTGGGGCTATTGTAAATCAACTCCTCTAATGGGTCAAAGAGCGGTTTCTTGTTCGTGTTGTTCGATGCGCTTCGAACAGCTTCACGTTTCAAGAAATCGATTATGTACAGCAAGCTCAACAATACCTTCGTAAACATTTCTGGCCAAGTACAAGTCATTTGGTGGTGCTAACTACCCGTTACAGCCGTCACCGGCGCTGTGTCTGTGGTCACAGGGATTGACGAAACAAAACAAAAAAAGGGACAGCAAAAGAGCTCATCAATGTTTACCTTGAGATAGAGAAAGCGTTGCTTCTCGCGATGTCTGTACTTTGATACTTCAAACCTATCGCATAGTGTAGAGCCGATCCCCTCCATTTAATTCCCTGGTCATACCGGATCTGCAGGATTACAATACCGAGGAGAATCCCTTTCGTCAGCAAACGAATGCGCAATTGTAGTAGTGATGTTGAGGACCCTGAGGAGGAGGCGAAAAGCCATTCGACTAGACGTTGGCATGAAAATTCGGTGAAGATGTGCAATAGCGTTGTAAGGTAGGCGTGCTTCGTCTTATGGCTTATCTTATTTCGAAGATATTATTGAAATGGAACCTAGAGATAACCACGTGAGATCCCATGAATGTGTGTATTCGTTCGCATTTAAATTGATGTTTAACGAAACGGAGAGTCCCAATATTGTTGTGCAATTTTCACATTTCGCCTGACTCGTTAGCACAGTCAATTTTACAGAGTAGTAGACTAATTCGGAAAGTTTAGGTCTTCGCTTAAGTTTGATTTGGGCAGGCGAGAGAATAAGCTAGCACGCCCATCGTCGTGTCATTGTGATTACATTTGACAACGTGCTATGACATCCGTAGTGACGAACATTTTAAATTCCCAAGGTTCGGATATTTTAATAGCATGTGAAAAACGGATAGTTCTTATGATTCATTTGTATTTATTTGTTCTTAAAACCACTTGAGTGGAAATAGTTTTCTTGGTTTGTTCTGATAAATATCCTCCTGTCGACGGTTTTTACTTCAAGTTTCAAACTGGAACCTAGGTTGCGATATCATTGTATTTTCTCACGGATGAAGGACGTTGCAAACTATTAAGCTGTATCCACGTCCTTGCTTATTGCTTATTTTCTTGCGATATCACTGAGCCATGTTTCTTTAGTGGCGTTTGATTAAAAAGTACAAGAAGCCATGTTGCACACGACAACCAAGCACTGAAAATAGACGACAGTGGAGAAATTTCTGTTTTGGGAAGGTTCTCGGCATTGCCACTACGTGGCGTCGATTTCGCTGGAGTCACCAATGTCCGATGGTGATGGGCTAGGAGCTTTCTCCCAGAAACCGCCAGGAACGCTGAAGTGAAATCTCTTGGCCAGGGAGGACAAACGGAGGTCCGTGAGGGGACTTCGCCTTCCAGATTCACTCTGTGGTGACACAACCATCTGATCGCGTCTGTGGCGAGTTGTCTAGTTAGGGTTAAAAAAATTATCCCCACAAAAAAAAAATGGCGTCGTAAAAAATGCTTTTGGAAATAAGGGTTCCAAATGACAAGTAGGAAAAACTGGTCGCAAGGTTTAGTAAAAAATATTTTCCTCGGAACCCATTTCGAAGTGGAATATGTATAACCTTGCAAAGTTGCCCCAACACAGTAATCACAGTCTGGTTTAAGATACTGTATTTATTTTTTCAACAAAGAAAAAACAAAAAACAACAACAACAACAGGAAGATGCATTTTGACTTACTAGCCGGAAGCATGGAGTAGGAGGTTTGGAAGCATTGCCGGCCTTCCCACGGTGTTGAAAGAAATTGACGCCTTACGCTCAAAGAAATCGACCGTACTCATACAGAGTGCCTAAGACCGAGTGGACGCTCCTCCCAAGGAAAGGAGAAAGTCGACGCTCGTACAAATGCAACCCCGTCTCAAGAACCTCTGTGAGGAGTATGCCGCTGGGACGAGAGCAGTTCAGGACCTCCTGCGTGCTGCCGACCGTACCATTTGATTCTAACGTTTCTGCCTGTACTGAGAATGTTTACGCCATTGTGTTGAAGAGCATCTCCGACTTTTTTACATAAAAAAGGCAGCACTCAAAACCATAATGTGATTGCTGTAATGGGGCAATTTACGAGGTTACTGTCTCCCCTTTCGAAATGGGTTCCATGGGGACTATTTCTTTCTAACCTCCTGCGACCATATTTTCCTACTTTCCACTTGGGAACATTCTTTCCGGGGCCTTTTATTTTCCAGGGTCGTTTATTCCGAGGTTCTTTCTTCTACAGCCATGTCGCCAAGCGAAAAAACAATCCAGGTGTGCTGCTGACACTCAGCTCGTCCTTTGTGCAGGGATCAAGTGCGACAGGCACGCGTTCCAGTGCAAGAATGGACAGTGTCTACCGAAGTACGTCTTCTGCAATGCTGTCGTAGACTGTATAGACGGCAGCGACGAAGAAGACGCCGCTTGTGTGAAAGGTAACCCGGGGAGGAAGGTTCCCCTGTCCGTTCTCTTTACATCTCGGTTGTATCATTACTCCCTTGCGATGCGCTGTATTGACAAGACGGAGGTTTTCTCAACGAGGAGGGTCACTGAGTTAGAGGTCTCGTGGTCCACGTCTCGTATATTTGCTACACCGCCGAGTCCACGGATGGCCGCGGTAAATCATTGGCTGGCTCACACAATATACGTAGACCCCTGATGTACTGGACACTGTACAGGTATCTCACCAGGATTGCCGTCAGCGACGTTGAGCTGCGGGTTACTTTCTTGTTTTCATATCCTCCGCTTTTGTTCGGTGAGTACGCGAAGGTTACAAACAAGTTCACAAGAATAATAATAATAAAAAAAAACACCGCTGACTCAACTGCACGCCACACCGCATTGTGAGCGCTCTCTCGGATTTTCTGTACCGCGTCCTCCTTCTCGCGGCTCTTCCTCTTCACAGCTTTATGATGTACTTGGCTTTCTCCGAGACACATCACACGACAGGCGCGTAGCCAGAATTTTGTTTCGGGGGGGGGGGGGGGGGGGGCCGCCCATGACAAAATGCTGTATGAGGGGGAGGGGGGAGAGGAGGTCCCAGCAAAATGGAAGACTTCGGCGGGGGGGGGGGGGGGCGAGCCCCATGGGCCTCCCCCCTGGCTACATGCCTGTCACACGACATACGTATATGTCGCGTGAATACACAGTTTATCTCCCCTGCAAGACCCGATGCAAAAATATTTTTGGTGCCACTTGTAGTAGAAGCTATTATGTTTATCATAATAAAACGTCTATGTCTACAAAGCAAAAAACGAATTTCAGCAACAAAAACAAGCCACCTTTGTAAGCTGTGCACAAGCGTTCTTCTTTATGTGATCCATCTTCTACGTCCACCTTATTTAGAGTCGCGATTCGGTACTGACGACAGGAAGAAACGTTAGCTCAACATTTATGAGCGTCATTAACCGGCAGCTACCTTGAAACTATTGCTCCAGGGAAATTGTCTTGTCCGTCCTGTTGATTTATGTTCGTCTCATTATTTCTAAAAATAACGTGTTTGTACTCATTTGTTTAAAAAAGGTACAGCATGCGGCTCCACAGTCACATGTTTTTTTTCGTTTTTTTGTGTGTTTATAGATACTTGAAAGCGAAGTATAAGGTTAGGAATCTGACCTTTCGAACAGAAACGGCCTCACCAAAAATGAAATGCTAGCTGCTCTATCCTGTGGAATAGGGCTTAATTTGTTATTTCCAGCAAAATATATCAGCTATACCATATACACGAGGAGAATCCCAAAAAAAGTTTTATTTAGTGATATTTATTCGTATTGACATCCCTTTATTGGACAATGCAAGAATGACTACTTAGTGGAACATAATCTAGATGCGCAGGTAGACGAACCGTTCCAATCGGTTGAAGTTAAGAAACTGCCGAAAAATAATGAGACGGACCCGGGCTCCGCCACATATTGGTTTTCGACAGTTCCCTAATTTACTTCGATTGGAACGGTTCGCTCAACTGCTCAAATGAGGAAAATACTCTAGTGAAGATATATTACAAAATTCAAAACATAATTATACGACAAGAACAATTCTTGATTAGGCGCACATGTCAATGCATTCGAGTCGTTTAGGACGATTTTGCGGGGTCCGTCTTCCCGTCGTCTCAACTGCTCACAAATAAACAAAAATACACCACAAAGAAGATTATTTTTTACCTTAAAAATGTTTGATCGTCCACGTCGAGATTTGAACTGAATATTACGGAGTATTATTCGTTTTAGAAAACAAAATCTAATTAAGTGGTCATTTATAATGTGTGCTAAGAAGCTAATCCATGCAATGGGTTTATAATGATGTATGATTGAGTTGTCACCTTGTTTATAAACGGATTATTTTTGCTCATTTTAAATTGTTGGGTCAGTCCATCTTCTGAATTGTCTAGAGAGCATTGTCAGATAACGAGACATTCATTCCGCCTGTCTTTTAAAATAATTATAAGAAATTTCGTCAGAACCCGACAGTCAACCTTTTTTTGGGGTTAAGTTGAAATACCTCAAAAAGGCCGTTTTGACAAGATCGCATATTCTAAGCTCGTGTAAAAGTAAAGGAGGTAGGATACAGTCATCTGACGTAAAAGACAGACTCAATATATCTGTTTAAATGTTTCTCGACGCTTATATTGTCACGTGAAAACACCATTAGCACTTCTATTGCAAACAAAATTTGGGGGATTTACGTGCCAAACCAACGACGGGCATCTGGCACGCCCCAGCGGAGGACTGAGGATTAATTTGGACCACCTGGGGATCTTTTGACGTGCAACCGAAAGCTCGGTTACACGGCGCCTCCTCCGCCATAAGCCTCCGTCAGATAGCGGGCACCTCGGCCGGGATTCGAACCCGCCACATAGAAGGCTATATCCGTAGGCCAGCGCTCTCGCCTCGGAGCCACCGAGGCGGCTATTTTCTATTGCAAACACCATTTGCAATAAAAGTGCTGTGTAAAACTGCAAAAAGGCAGAAAGAGCTGCTTGTCGAATATAGAACTGAAGATGAACAGAATAATGTGTTTCACAATGCTATAAATGACAGGATGTCCCAAACAAAAAAAGAATTACTTTTTTTCACCACATCATTAAACTACGCATCACCGAACGCTCATTCTCCGCCCAAATGTAGCGCTAGAGGTCCGAACCAGTTGGCAAAACTCTAACCCTTACCTGACTGAAAAGTTATGTGATTTTCTAAAAGTTTCAGTGAGAAAATGGGGCCCATTTTTGTTTGTTTTCGGTACCTGGCGCCATGGAGCTGAGTGTATTCGAGAGCTCTGTCGGCCGCCATTTTCCCGTTGAAAATTTAAGAGAGTCACATAACTCTTGAAGAAGATAACGGTGAGTGCTGAAACTTTGGCATCTCGTTCGGATCTCTAGGGTTACATTTGGGCGTTTCGCGATGCGTATTTTATTTTTGGAATAAAAAAAACACTGTAATATATATATATATATATATATATATATATATATATATATATATATATATATATATATATATATATATATATATATAGGGATGGGCAAAATACATGCAAATATGTAACGAAATAAAAATACAAAATACTTCGTCAAAAATGTATTTAATTACAAATCTAATTACGTTTCCAAAAAAGCATTTAAGTACAAGATACAAATACAATCAAATGTATTTGATCTCCTCCAAATACTTTTCCAAATACATTCCTCAAAATTTGCGTCAGCGATTTCAGGGCACCTGCCACGGATTTCTGGTATCTCATTTTAATTTTGCATCGCACACTCGGGAGTTAGTGTGCGAGGCTCTAGTAACGTAATAGAAATATAATCACAAAAAAATGTAATCAGCTTGGACGTAATCGGTGAAAAAAGTACAGAGCTTCAAGCAGCTTTTTTTATCGATTACATTTTGGTATAGACCAACAAAGAACCGAGACGACCAAGACGCGCAGCACTAGTCAGAGAATTTTTTATTGTTGCAACTCGCACCAGTTACGAAAATCTGGACGACTTGCGCATTTAGAATGTTCCAGGCAAAAATATGGAACGAAATAAGGCTGGAAAGCATCACAAGCTGTTACAGGCACTTATTTATCCAGTCTGCCTGTGAACGTCGATTTCGTCACTATTCTTGCCCTGGACTAGCACCGTAATCGCAAAGTCACTAAACGCTTGTGCTTGAGTGTGAGACTCTGCATTCGGTGCAGAACGTAGTTTTCTTCCTGCTCTGAACACGTCTTAGGATGAGCAAAATGAGTCATGACAATAAATTTGAGGGATGTATTTTCGCCCACAAAATTGTGTTTAATTATAATTGTATTTGAAATACCCACGTTTTAGTATTTAAATACACACGTCAAATACATTACCCAATTTGCAATTAAATACTAATGCAAGATACACAAAGTATTTGAAATACGTATTTCAAATACTGCCCATCTTTGTATATATATATACATATATATATATATATATATATATATATATATATATATATATATTGTGACGAAGAGCAAGAGTCGACGACCGTTTTTATGTCCGCACTGTTTAAGCATTCAGCGCGCCTCTGCCCGCGCATTCAGTTCAAGCGCACGCGGGCCTCGTCTTCCTCCGCCAACATGCTGAAAGACGATGAAGGGGACATCGTGAAGTATGCACGTCACAATTTATATATATATATATATATATATATATATATATATATATATATATATAGAGAGAGAGAGAGAGAGAGAGAGAGAGAAAAATAGAGAGATTTTCTTTTTTCCTTGAGGGGGGGGGGGGGACATTTTGTATATTTGGTCTGAGAAAAATCACGTTTGTAGCATGCCATGCACTTTTAAAGTTTACGACGCTGTAATGGCATATTGAAAAGATTTGGAGAAGACTAAAAATGTAACCCGAATAAAGTTTTCCTTTTTAATGTTTTCAACGTAAATAATGCTTTCGCTGTATTCACGACGCAGGCACGTCATGTCCGGCTGACAGCTTCCGGTGCAAGAACAACATGTGTCGGTCGTCTGCGATCCTGTGCAGCGGCGTTGATGGCTGTGGAGACAACAGTGACGAAACTGGATGCGAAGTCTGCAGTAAGTGGGAATCGTCAAGGGATTCTTCGCGAGTCGGTTAAACCAATCTTAGACCGGCCTAGCAACTCAGCCCGCGAAGTAGAACGAAAACTCCGCGTGGACAGAGTACGCTCTAAGCCTTAAGGAAGCTAGAAAGGGCAGTGGACGTTTGGCCAAGACAGCATCGGCTGTTGTCCAAAGCCTCAATTAGCATTTTTTTCCCCTCTTTCTACCAGCGTTAGCATCTTTCGTGCACTGTCACTATCGCGGTCATCTTTTCCTTTCTTTTAGAACAAAAGATGGCCAACTCTTCGTATCACTAACACGCGTCCATATATAGTCAGAGACAGCATGAGAACAGCAGGGCGTATCTTTGTAACGCCCACCCTTAAGCATGCGCTCCATGCCTTCCACCGTGCTTTGACAGCGCGCGCGTACGAGGTACACGAGACTCCGAAGCGTTGTGGAAGGTGGGGGAAAGAGAGATTATACTTTATTGAGGTCATCAAGGATGACTTCGGGAGTTCACCGTGGGTGGTTCCTTTGTCCGGGGTTTCATTGGCCTTGCACGCCCCATCGGATAGGATAACCAGCTGGCGCTGATCCACCGCGTCCGAGGCTCTCATTGGCCGTCTCCCAGGAGTTGAGGCGGTTTTGAAGTCGTGCTGCGTATTGTGTTTTGGATGCTTCGGGCAGGCCAGGACCATGTGGTAGATGGTGCCTCGGTTCTGTTGACAGTTGGGGCATATGGGTGAGGGGTAGAGCTGGGGGTAAAGCAGGTTGAGTCTGGATGGCGTCGGGTAAGTGCTGGTTTGGAGCAGGCGCCACTTGGCCTGTTCCCCTTTGTCAAGCGAATGATGAGGTGCTGGTAGAGTGCGTCGTTGCTCCCGGTAGTAAGTGGTAATGTTCTTCTAGGTGGTGAGTGGGGTGGGTGGATCCGGTTGCTGATCTGGGTGTTCGTACCGTGAAACCATGGCACGGGCGTCAGCTTCTTCGCGTGCCAAATGATGGGCTTGGGCATTACCCCTCACTTCGGTCTCAGTATGGGACGGAGTCCCGATGACGCTGATGGTCCGCTTCCTTTCACGTGGCTGGTGGGTGTCGAGAATGTGGTGAACCTCCGGGCAAATGAGATCACATAGGCATTCCCGGCGGGCGTCTTGAGAGTCCGTGATGATGTAGCGGGGGTGCTGGGTAATGGCCAGAACAATAGCCACCTGCTCCCCTATTGTGATTTTGTCTCCTATAGTTGTGTGTAGAGCTGTAACTTCTGGGGTATTTTGATCATTGCATGCCACGGCTACCACTTCACCGGAGCTAACTAGGGCTGCGCGCCGGCGGGAGAGTGCCCGACACAAGAGCGCGCAACCATAGACCTTTACAAAAAAGAGCGTGTGGCCGGTGCCATTTTGAGTGCTCGTGCGTATGGCTGCGTGCTTTGCTAAGAATGCCTACTCGTGAGCACTCCGCTGTACAGTTTGCGCGAAGTCAACTCTCCGCGCGTTTTCATAATACACCACCTAGTATAGTCAACACCATTTTTTTGCCTCCAATGTTGGTTACTCGACAAGTGGATATTGCACCACACTAGTAATTTTGATGACTGTCTTTCAGCTCCGTGTCCTAGTCTCACATGAGCGACAAACAGCAACAAACCGACACCGACCATCTTGCATGCACCAAAAGGTGTCTTTGGCAGGCTAGCAATCATTCGGTGCTGGTGCAGTAAGCAGCGGTGATTTGCAAGCCTGCCAAAAATGGCTTGCGTGCGTGCTGCACGTCCATGAAGTTCGTCGGTGTCGGTTATAGAGCTCTGTTTTTCGCTTAAGTAGGACTAAACGGCTTTAGGAGACTCACAAAAGAACCAGGGAACGCGCGTTCGGGCGATTTGTATCGTGCTCTGTACTTGCCGCCGAGCGAGAGAATGATTCATCTTTTAAGAACCTACCTGAACGCAGTTATCTTTGGTAAGGGCTGCTAGTTGCTCGTAATGAGTCTCAACAAAATCATCCACAGATTTGTTTTTCTTTTTAATGTTACCAACGGCGAAAAGTGGCCTGCGTATCATCAGCGTAATCCTGAATACTTTTGAGTTAGCCATGGCGAAAAGGAAAATAAAACATGATTTAAATCGTGACTTAAATCATGCTTTTTGTTTTTAACAAATGCGTTAGCATTTATTGCTCTGGTGCATGCAGTCGTCTTTTGTTTGGACGGTCGTGGTTTGGACTGGACTGAACTTGACTGGTTTCGTGAATCCGCGGTGCGGTTCCCGCGTGCACGTTCGCTCGGTCCGTTCGCTCGTTACATCCACTTTCCATCTTAGAAGAGGGAAAGACTTCTGGAAGGCTTCCAATGGCGCGCCACGGGAGTGGAAGAGGAAGAGATGGAGCGGTCGTGGAGGTGGCCCAACGTACGCGACAACGTAGAACTGAGGTAGATCGACGACGCCGTCTGCGCGAAACCGCCGACACCCGGGAGGAAAGATTGGCTCTTCGAAGACAACAAACAGTATGCGGACCGTAGGCGGCGATCGAGGGAAGCTGTGGTGGCTGCAACCGAAACCGCCGACGACCGGAAGAACAGACTGACTCTCCGAACACAACAGTACGCGGACCATTGCGAGGTTGGAATTCTCATCTTTCGCAGAGTCTGAACACCTGCACTAAATGCTAACGCATTTCGTCGAGAATCAGCGTAGCGAAAGTAGCGATTTCGGCATCATTATTTTCTGGTATGACATAGGTCAGACTGTTCATGAATAAAAAGTAATGATCTCGAAAACAATTGTAGTTATATTTGGAGCCTTCGGTATTGAATACTTTTAATGAGCACACTTATATTTGACATAGTTTTGTCAAATTAATCACAGTGAGAAAGATTTGTGTCGAAAGGGGGAGAAAAGCAAAGTGACGCTTATCTGTGGAGCAAATTGCAGTGTTGAATTTACTTTACACTTTGCACTTCATCGCTCAATATTGTTATTAGATACATATTAAACAATAAAAGTGAAAGGCTATCGAGGGAACAGTGTGTAGCCCTCCGTCTCTCCCCAAGCCTCATTGCCAGCGCTGTCGGCGAGCTGCCTTAGTGGCGTCATGCCTTCAGCATATGCGCCAGCTAGCAGGCCTCTTCCTAGCTTGCAGCCTTCGCATGATTTTTCCCAATATTAGGAACTTTCCCTTTTTGAGCTGCACTTACCGGCACCACATCAAGATGAAAGTGAGCTGCTCTGTGAAACGTTTTTCTAGAATCTCTTATGGTCGGTCTTGATGGTGCCTGGAGCGCGTCTTAGATTGGCGTGTTTAGCGTCCTATGCCGCCCATGCACCAAAAGTGGTCCCGAAATGGCAACAAATGACGTCACAGAAGCCGGAGTGTCATGCTGTTGCATGTCGCGATCCTGGCGGTCGGTCGTAGAAATGCCGGCCAAAAGCACGAGCGAACGCGAGTGTTGTTGTCGTCACGGCGTCTTAACTTTAAGGCTGCCGAATCTTCCGTGGTCTGTCACACCAGAGAGCGACCTGCAGCAGAACAGGCGTCTGCCACACAGACCACAACTGTTAGGACGCCGCCAGGATCGCGGCCGGCGACAGCATGACACTTTTATGACGTCATCAAGCGGAAATCGAGGGACCACATTTTTGGACGTGGCAAACACACGAGTCGGAGACGCGTTGCAGGCACCATAGTTTTGGGGAGATGAAACCTTTTGCACAAGATTTTAATATATATCACAACTCAAGTAGCACACATCTCGGCGTGTCGATGACTTGTCAGTTATATTTTGTGCAGAAATATTTCTAGCAGAAGTAAGGTTGCTCGCTGACATTTATTACACAGTGGAGGTTTCTGTAGTTTTCTTAAGGTCGTGCTTCACAATCAAAAGTGTTTAAATGAAATGGTACTGTACGCCATAAGAGACATTTTAACAAAATACCCAAGCAGCAAGCAGAATACTGGGAACGTTTGTGCACGCGTGCACGCGCTCGCCTTGTTTGTATAAATAATTCCAGGTATATAAATAAAATAAGGTGTTCATGAACTCAGGTCCAAAGAGTCATTTTTTTATCATTTTCCTTTAGAAACAGTTACTGCTGCACATAAGCGCAAAGTTTTCAATTTCCCGGGGGCGGGGGGGGGGGGGGGGGGGGGGCGAGAGCCCCCCCCCCCCTTTCTCCTGGAAAGACGCTTTACCAGGTTACAAATGCGATTTCGGCTAGCGAATAATTATTGGAAATAAGTCATTTTGCAGTGTAACATGCATGATAATAAGAATCAGGCTGTAAATACAGGAGCAGCCGAATAAATATACGAGTATGCCCAGAACAACCTATTGGTTGTCCTGGGGAACGAATCAAATAAAGCACTATTATTATTATTATGCTTGATTAAGCTTTGTCATCTTGTTAGTTTTGATTGCGAACATTACTCTATGCATATATCTCCGTCCTAGTGGAAAAAGTAGCAATTGCTATCGTTTTGTTTGTGATATTGCTGGAACAGTATTAACATGCAAAGCTCCCACCTTACTCGTTCGTGTCTCGAATGTTAAAGTTGAAAAGAAGGAAGACAGTGAGAGTATTGAAGACAGAAAAAGACAGAAAGAAGGATCCTTAAAAAAAAATAATAATAATACGAAGCTTACTTCATGCTGTTTTGGCTCTCTCCTAACAAAGAACGAAAAGAAAAGGCATCCCTGCTTGCCCTCCTCATCCCTCCCTCGTAATGTTGAGGCAACACCCAAGTAGAGAACTACCGTGGAGCCAGGCTGGCGCTCGGTAGCGAACCCGGCGGCCAGGCGACTCTTGGGTCCGCGGTCGCTGAAGCTTCTTCGCTTTCTCGGTCGTGTCTGGTGGCGCTTTCGAATTTTGTCGCCTGTTGCCGCCATAGAGCAACAACACAACACCGATAACACGTAGATATTCTTTTGTATTTAATGTTTGTTCGTTTTTTTTAACTTGTTTTACGGGCGCTTTTTTTTTTTTTTTTTTTTTTTTTTTGCTACCGACATTTAAATTGTAAGGTGCTCAGCCCCCTTTTCGCCTTTCTCTGTTAATTTTGTAGGGCAAGAGCGAATTAAGCGCCTTAACAATTGCCGTCCGAATTGTTATGACCTGCATGGAGTCTTTTAGAATTTATTTTCTGCCGTCTGCAAACTTGTTTCCTTTCTTTATTGCCCCCCCGTAAACGGCGCCTACGCTGCTGCTGCCGGCTCGCGCGCGCCGCTTTCGACTTGAGTTTTAACATGCTCTTTGGTGCTTAGACAATTCAGAAAAAAGTTCCACTGTTAGAATTAAAATAAATGATTTTCGATGCACACTTTTTTCAAGACCCAGGTACATTGAAGCAACTTATAGTATCTGTCACATTTAATAACAATGAAAAAACTACATTAAAAAAAAAGACAGGATTTAAATCTGATATTAGTCAAATAAATATAATTTGAATCAAATAAGTCTGTTTTTTTTTGTATTTTTATCGCATTTTTTCTACGCTGAAACCAATCAATATACTAGATCCCATGACTTCGATGCTCAGAGCAGCAAGATGCATTGCCGCGCCTGAATACGCCGCGCTGATTGGTGTATTCGTGCTAAATCTGACGTGCTTTGCTTGACGACAGTCGTGTTTGGCTGGGCTGGCCCAGCGTAGTGTGGGACGTCTATCGCCCCCGAGCCTTCCAAGCCCGAAACCTTCCCCAATGCTGGTTCCCACGAAGAGCGCCCTTTTATTCGATGCTCAACTACACATACCAGAAACTTTTTTTGGCATCGTGAAAGCTAAATAGCATAAAAAAACACAACACTGACCTACGTATCCAATTATGTAAGGTCTATATTAATCAATCTAGTCAGAGTAAATATATTGCTCGGCAGAACTCGCGGGCGTATCTTCGGTCGGTCAGGGAGTTAAATGCTCCAGATAATGGAATAACGCGTTTTCTTTTGTCACGATAATGCGGCCTAAGTAGGCCAAAATTGGCTCTTGATTGCTGGTGCTGAGACTACATATCGAGAACAGGAAATGGGCAGGTTTTAATTAGCGCCCTCACCCGTACACTCCATCGCGCGCTCCAGCCGCCTGCTTAACGCTCGCGGCGTTCGCACACGCCTGCCGACTGAACGCCGAAAGAGGAAGCCCGCGCCCGGTCGGCCCTTTAATTAACTGCGCGCCGCTGAATATCTCGCTGCACTCCTTTGTTCGCCGTTTGATCGCGTCGTATGAGCTTCAATTGCGTTGCGCCTCCGTTCCCTCTTCTCTTACGATGGGAAGATTTCGCCCATGAGACCAGTGTTTGGATAAGAGGCACAGCGTCGAGCTCCCATGTGCGCGGCCAGTGCTCTCGTGACCGGATGCACTGCACGCGAGATTTGGGTTTTCCCAAACCGCAGTGACTGAATTCCAGACTGCGTATGAAGCCGCTCACACCTGCATTTATCGTTCCGGTGTGCGTTGGACGTTCCACGTTCCGGGGAGCGCTGGGCTGAGTGCAAACTGTGGCTATGGATGCATAACTGGGCGTTATTCTCGCCAGCAGGCTACGCATCTTGAGAAGCATTGTGCTTAGAAGTGCTTCTGCACCCCAGCTGTACTATTAAAATGTTTTTTTTTTTTTTTGTTTTTAGGGGGATTGACGTGATTTCGGTAAAACTAATCTGCATAAGTTTTGGCACGTTGTGAGCGGAAGTGAAAGGAAACCAATTGAACTTGCTACGGATAGCTAATCGGTCGTTCCTAGGGAAAACTGCTGCGTTGTTTTGAACTCTGCATTCTCATCGTCGTTTCTTAACAGCACGCCATGTATGTTTCCCGATGTTCCGGTTTATGATTTTATTCCGATGGATCCAATAGTTATTGACTGGGCAGGCGTAATGAAATTAATTCAAAATATGAAGCTTTCCTCTTCTCCAGGTGATGATGGCATTAACCCCAAATTTTTGAAAAACACCGAAGTGTATTCATCTATAATATCGTCGAACATTTTTGCACAATCATTAGAATCCTGTACGCTCCCAAACGACTGGAAGGTGGGAAAGGTGGTTCCTCTGCACAAATCAGGTAACATTCATTGTCCCAATAATTATAGACCCATTTCATTAACCAGTATACCGTGCAAACTCATGGAACATGTCATATACTGTCATATGGTATCCTTCCTCGAAACTAATTCTTTTTTTAGTATGCATCAACACAGAACATCAGAAAAAATTACTCATGTGAAACTCAACTACTCGCCTTTACTAACGACTTATTCTTTGCTGCAGATCACTTAATCACTGTTGACTGCATTTTCATCGACTTTTCTAAAGCATTCGATAGTGTCTGTCATAGTCTGCTCCTCTATAGATTAAGTAAACTAAACATGGACCCTAATATTTTTAAATGGATAGAATGCTTCTTGTCTAATCGCACGCAATATGTAACCGCCAATGACCGTAACTCCCCTCACTGTCCTGTAACGTCCGGTGTCCCGCAGGGGTCAGTGCTAGGGCCCTTGTTTTTTCTTGTTTATATTAACGACTTACCTAGCTGCATTTCTTCATCTATAAAACTTTTTTGCTGACGACTGTGTTGTTTATAGCAAAATTCTGGAACCTGCTGATCATCATGCTCTTCAGTCTGACCTCGATAACATTTCATTTTGGTGTGACACCTGGCTAATTAAACTTAACCCTGCCAAATGTAAGTCAATGAGAATTGCACGTCATTCAAATCACATTCTACCGTGTGGCCATTTACTTAACGGTGTTCGCCTAACGCAAGTTTCGTCCTACAAATATCTTGGCATTATCATTTCTGCTAACCTTTCATGGCAAGATCACGTCGACTACATCACTAGTAATGCTAATCGCGCACTCGGTTATCTACGGCGTAATTTTTCTTTAGCCCCAACTAACTTGAAACTCATACTTTATGAAACTTTAGTGAGGTCAAAGCTTGAATATGCATCATCAATCTGGGACTCTCATATTAACTCCATTATTCTTCAAATAGAAGCCATTCAAAACCGTTCCGCGCGTTTCATCTTCTCAAATTACTTTCGAACTGCCAGTGTCACTTCTATGAAATCTAATCTTAACTTACCCGATCTTTCATTGCGTCGTAAACTATCTCGTCTTTGTCTCTTTCACAAGGTTTATCATTTCAATACTCAGTGACTCTCTCTTTCTGCCACCGTCGTACATTTCTTCCCGCAGCGACCATCAGTTCAAGGTTGCCGTCCCAAGCAGCCGCACCAATTTGCACTTCCACTCATTCATTCCCAAAACCTGCACAGACTGGAACCACCTCCCCGCCTCCATCGCTTCAATCACTGACACCGACCGTTTCAAAAGCGCCGTTTGCAACCATTTTTTGTAATCCCCCTGCTGTGTGCTTTTTTGCTTCACCACTCCTCTCTGTAATGATTCGGCCTTGAGAGTAAATAAATGAAAATGAAAATGAAAATGAAAACATGAGTATACTGAAGAAAAGACGACACTACGAGTGCGCTTATAGTTACTAGGGACTTTGCTGAGCACAGAGACTATATTTACAGTTTTTATCCAAATCTCTTCAACATAAAAACGTCCAAATGTAAATCCTTCCCCTCGGATAGCGTGCGCACACCCTAAGATTGCTCTTTCTGTTGTTTCAGAATGCGAAAAGCTAGAAGAGACGACATCAAATCCGTGAGACTCGACGACGTGGTTCTAGTTTTTCGGCAGTCCTCGCTGGCGTCATCACCCAAGTCAAGTGTGCCCCCGAAGGTGACGAGAGCAAGGCATCTGCCCCGACGGCCCGGACCGAGCTGGCGTTCCCGTGCAAGTCGTCCCGCGTCCTTGCTCCACCGTGGCCCCACCCGTTTCCATCATCCTAATTTACCACGACGTACTGTGCACTTCTCAATCTCGCAGCACCAGTGGTTGTTACCAAGCACGCTGATACTGAGTTGTAACAAGGCAGCTACTTTAAACACTTCGTACAGTTCAGTATTACCGCGTTTGCGATAGTCTTTCAGTTTCAGCGCATCTACCCCAGGAGTCGTAGGTATAGACGTGTCATTTTGGCGGAGCAAAGTAATATATTTTGTCCATTCTGTGTGCTCATAACAGAGAGTTAAAGGGGGGGAAAAGCGGACTATTTAATGAGCTGGTACTCATACGTCGCCGCACCGATACAGGTCCGAGGATTGGGGATATTTAGGACCGCGCCCAGAAATGTCGTTCTGCTGAGTGTTGTGGTGCCGTGCGGATTTTGCACAAATGGGAGTGTTGTATGTTTCGCTTCTCCACTGCCACAAGTGTCTGTCCTGGTGACAGCCTTTCCTCTCGCCATGTTCAGCGTCCACTTTTTTTTATTGTTTCATTTGTTTCCTGTGCAAAAGGATACCACGCGCGGTGCCACCCAACGCGTTTCAGGCGTTTGTCCACCAGCAGAACTGCGCTGTTAGTTCCAAGGGATTTGCGTGCCAAGTGATAATTGGAATGATGTATTTCGCGGACCTGCGAGCAGATAATTTATTTCTGCGCCAGACGTACTAATTGAAAACTTTAATAATTGTTTTACAACGTCTTGGGTATTTATACATTTCTATTCCAGAAATAAAGGCAGTATTTGTCTTGTGGACGCTCGTATCATTATAGGGTTGAACGTTGACCTTAAACGTTCACTTACTATTTTTGGGTTGAAAAATTGACAGATTGATGCTTTAGATAACCCTGTTCCAGGAAAAAAAAAAAAAAAAAACGGCTGCCATATGGCCAAGAGAACATGCTTCTCATGTAAGACTCGTCAAGATATTTGACGAAGAAGAAAATCAGCCATCTGCGTTAAGTCCTGATTTCGAACTCCTTTTGTTCGTGTTCCGCCCATTGAATCACTCTACAAGCTGCTGCTCTAGCAAATTACGTTCGAAACGAGGCAAACTCTTTAGATGTCTCCTCATTCATCACCAAGGAAGGTACCTACTCTGATATGTTGAGTTCTTCGTGAACAGTTATATACATTGACCGTAAAATGACACCAGATGAACAAAACAGAGGAAGATAGAAAAGACGTAACACCCCTTCCAGCAGTACACCTATGGTTGACATAACTCATCACATCAATGTTCTCACCGCGGTGATAAAGCCAGTGGACCCAGACTGTTGCATAACAAACATTAACCCACTAAAGCTGCATAAAAAACATGAGAGTCTTGCCCCGAATGGCGTGGTTGAAGTGCGACTAAATTCTCAACACTATTGGAAATTTACACCCGGCACATGGAATCAACACCATCGATATCCAGGACCTACAAAAGGCCCTGTGTATCACCGCACCAGTGAAAAGTGGTCGCCGACTGGGACAAATAGAAACTGTAAAACTTTGGCGGTTAAAAGAACATTTCCGGAGTATTTCACCCTCGGACCCACCCAATAGGGCCTAAGCCTACACTAAAAATCCCCTGCAATCTTACAAATCATTTTATTTTGTACATGTGGGTAGAGCACCCACCGAATCACAGTAATATTCGCGCTGCGAGTGGCGGAGAAAAGCTCACTAAAAAAAAAGCTCACCGGCGATAAGCTCACCGGAGAAAACCTCGTCGCACAAAAACTTACCTTTTGACGGATCTGAAGAAAAACTCCCCAGCGAATTTGTAAATCTAGCGTTTACTAAGCTCAAAACATTCACTCGTCTCAAGTATACCTGGTGCCATATATGTGCACACGTGGTTATTGTGCACATCACTGTCAGATATTTTGTTTTTCAAGTTTACCTCATACCTGCCCAGGATGGTACGACTAAAATAAAAAAAGGAATTTCTAAAAAAACGGTAATTGAAAGATAGATTGGGTGATATATATAAGCGGTGTAATAGGCTGCAGCTTTAATAGTTTTCATGCAATTATACTTTATTCACGTAGTAGCAGGCACAGCATAAGCTATGCCAAATCTTCACATTTCACCATTTCTTTAAGTTAAACTTTCAATTACAAGTCCTTCTAATTGGGAAATAAATAAAGGTAATATTTCATTCATGCGGCTACGTCTGAATTAGCTCTGTCAACAGTAGCGCGATAACGGGTGGCATGAAAGTGTAACGACACCTGCAGTAGAGCGCCCTCCTCCGAAATGTATACACCCTGCGCGATAGGTGCCAGAAGATTAAGTAGCTCTAGTTATCTAACTTTATACCGACCACCTTGCAAAATAATTTAATTCAACAGGAGCTTTTCTCATGATTTTCTAAAAACACGGGTCAATTTTTCTCCGAACCCGCCAAAACGTGGTTGAGCTTTTCTCCGGTGCGCTTATCTCCGGTGAGCTTTTACACTGCAAGCTTTTCTCCGGGATTTGCCGTCACCCCCGACGAAAACTGATTTGGAGATTGGAAGATTATGCACTCGTATAGATACACAGAGGAGAACAGATAGCTGCCGACAGCGAAGCTAGGGATGAAGATGAAGAGGTATTTCGGCCTCCTCCGTAGCGTCACAGACCTCTCCACCAGCAACAACCACGACGGCCCGGTCCGCGCTGGTGGACTTAAGTAATGGGGTGTCAGAATGCCGGGGCTGGGGACGGGGGCTGGGGAACGTCGACCGTCGGCTTCCTCTGTTCCATCTCGTCATAGCGCATGGGCGGGGTCTGGGCGGCGGAGCCATGGGCTGGTGTTCGGTCTGCTGCTGCGGATGACTGCCAAAGCAAGACGAAATGGCTGAATGATGACGGCGGCGATGCTGGAGATGAGGATAGCTCCGCATCTCTATCGTACCGTTAAAATGATGCTGTCGGCAGTAAAGATGACAAGACAGGACAAGAGGATAGAACACACAATGGATTTTTCAAGGATGGGCCAGCACGTGGGAATTGGCCAACACGTTCAAGAAGGCAAGCCTTCGCGCCCACCCCCGTGACGTCATGGTAGCTTGTCCAGCACCAGGAAAAGCTAAAGAGCCGACGGGGCTTGGTAGTGCCGGCGCGCAAGCTGGGCGGCATGTAGCTTCGAATGGAAGTGCTTGTACGCTTCTTATTTACGCGTGCATGACGAGAGCCTAATAGAGTTGCAGTTCAAAGGCCCGTTCACACTCTTGCAACCTAGTGCGACCGAGAGAGACGAGACTTGTTAAAATCTCTTAAAATTTCTTAGGACGAGGGAACACACTGGCACGCTGGCGCCATCTATGCGATGACCAACCCTGGAACTGCATTTCACAAGAGCAAAGGTTTTGAGGTATTTCTGAGGTCAAATGTGCGTAATACCTCTAAGAAAGGCTCATTTATAACATTGACAAAAGTTTTTCGAGCCAAAAAAGAAAGGATAATGCGGGAGAGAAATAGAAAATAGGCCGGACCGCCAAGTTTACGTTGCTACCCAATAGATGGCCCCAGTATGTCCTCGCGTTGTAAGAGGTTTTAAGAAATTCAGTTTTAAGAGGTTCCAAGAGTGTGAACGGGCCTTTAAAGTGGTAGCTGTTAGCGCCCCTTCCCGGCAAAAAATGCCATGTACGAACGCAAAACCCCACTCTGCAGCAGAAGAACTCCTCTCCCTCTCCCTGTCGTTCCTCACACACGCAATTCTCTCTCTCGCTCCCCCCTCCCTTCCCCCCCGTAGGCCGCCACCGCTCTTGCTCCGGCGGGGCTTTCGTACGTACTTTCGCTTCGTCCAGCACAGGCGCCGTCACGGTGGACTCAAGAGTGGTTCAGCAAAAAAAAAAAAAAATTAATAAATATCAATCACGTCTTTGTGTTTTTTCCTAACACATGCAACATCTTTCACAATCGTTCCCCCAAAGCACACATCTCCTCACACACGTCTCACAGATCAATTCCACTGAAAGCAAAGAGCCCATTGTAAACATTGTACAGCAAGCACACTGGCTAAAGGCAAAACTCAATCAACATTCCTTTCTGCGACGCAGCAACAGCTACAGCTGTCTATAGCAGCACACTTTGTGTGGTCGAGTCGTTTGCATTTTTTTATAACTAGCGGTCCAAAGGGAAACTCTAACTTCGAGGCTTCGTGTATTGAATAAAAACGAGTCAAAAGAATCATGAGAAATATCCTTGAGAACAGCCTGTCTGCCAATGTGTCATTGACCCTCATGAAACCAAGGAAAACACTGGTCTGCAATCACAAATGTTTTAATTTGAAACACATTTCATTGTTTTTCCAACCCTGTCGTCTTAATAATGGGTTTGCTTGATAATGAAGTACTCCTGAAAGAGTTGTGCACATACCTATACAGACAAACTTAAAATGTTCACTAATTAATTTTTAATTAAATTAAATTTTATTGTGATGTTAAGCAAATATTAATAATAACCCCTTCATATAAAAATATAATATTACGTGAGAACAAGAAACTGTATGCTGAAGAGTTTTCCGGCGGCAGACATTGAACTACACATCAAGCTAATTTTTTTTTTTTTTTTATTCACACCAAAATGAGCGACACAAGTTGGTTACTGAGAACAGATATTATTTTTTTGCAATTCCACCCGTTTATGTTACGAGAATCAAGTTCTTAGTAAGGAAATTCTTTAATAACATTGTTTGTTCGGCGTAAAATAGGCAGGTATGAAAACAGGAAAAACAGTGAATATAATTTTAGCATGAGCCCAATAGACCCTTTTTAAAAGCCCGTCAATAAAGAGATTGGACGTTTGAGGATATAATATGAATCTTTCAAAGAGAATTAGAGAAGCCTCAAATTAAACTAAAAGGAAAGCAAAAACGAAGACAAAAACTAAAAAGCTGGTGGGATCCCTATCCCACCAGCTTTTTAGTTTTTGTCCTCGTTTTTGCAGCCACATTTTGGCGCTAGGGCGCATAGGTGGACAAAGGAAAGCGGAGCCTTGCCAACTGAAGTAGCGTAAAAATCGGAGAACTTCAAAGAGGCGGAAAACGGAAACATCAGCTTTAATACAGGCTAAAATTGGGAGTGTAGGAGTGCAGTGAACAATGTAAATAAATTTAATAAAGATAGGAATGCGGCAAAAAAGGTGTGGGAGCACATTAAAGCGCAGGGGAGAAAGAGGGTTTCCAACACTTGCTGACCACACAGGAGGAGAGTAGAGTAGAGGATGAAGAGGCGCGGGAATATATCGGGCGGACATTCGAAGAGGCTTTCTCCCAGCTTGAGCAGAGGGTGAGGGTGGATAGCACTGACAGCAGCAGTGTAAAGTAGGAGGAGAATTGTGTAGCAATGGAGATGTCCACAAGAAAATGGGACAAGGCAGAAAGTAAGGTTCCAGCAGGTACAGCGACAGGTCCAGAAGACATACCCATTAAACGCATTACAACACTAGGAAAACAAGCAAATTAAAGTTACGGCATGTGATTAATCAAATATATATGGGAGGAGAGGTACTCAATGATTGAAAACTAAGTAATGTGAGACTAATACATAAAGGCAGAGGAAACGAAGAGAGCATTAAGGCATATCGCCCAATAACAGTAACTTCAGTTATATACAGATTAGCTATGTAGATAGTAAAGCGGAGAATGGAGGAATGGGCAGAAGATATGCAAATACTGGGTGAGCTTCAAAACGGATTCTGAAGAGATGGAAGACTGGAAGATAACTTATTCGTCACCACACAATGTATAGAAATAGAAGTGAAGAACCAAACTC